ATGCTTCAGATTATGCCATGGGAGCAGTTTTGGGACAAAGAGTAGGAAAGCTTCCATGTGCCATATACTATGCAAGCAAAAACTTTCTCGGGAGCTCAATTGAACTACTCCACTACCGAGAAAGAGTTACTTGCCGTAGTATATGCCATTGATAAATTTCGATATCTCTTAGGGTCTAAGGTTGTTGTCTATTCTGATCATGCTGCCTTGAGACATCTTTTGACAAAGAAGGAAACAAAACCTAGATTGATTAGATGGATTTTGCTTCTTCAGGAATTTGAAAATCAAGGACAAGAAAGGCACCAAAAATGTGGTTGCCGATCATCTTTTAAGGTTATTAATAGAACCTTCCCCTAGCCCACCTATTCATAACTCTTTTCTGGATGAACAGCTCTTTCAAATCTCCCATGGGCAAATGCCTTGGTCTGCCGATATTGTGAATTATTTGGCAGTTGGCAAGCTTCCAATTTCTTGGCCTAAGAACGAGAAGAATGGTTTCTTTGCCAACATCCAGAATTATTATTGGGAAGACCCTATCTTGTACCGTTATTGTCTGGATCAAATTGTGAGGAGATGCATTCCGGAGAGCGAAATTCCAAGTGTTCTTGTGTTTTGTCATACGCTTGTATGTGGTGGACATTTTAGTGCAAAGAAGACCGCCTTGAAGGTTCTTCAAAATGGGCTCTTTTGGCCCACTATCTATAGAAATACTTACAACTTTTGCACGTCATGTGAGAGATGCCAAAAGATGGGATCAATGTCGAGAAGAGATATGATACCCTTGACCAATATCCTTGTTGTAGAAATCTTTGACATATGGGGCATTGATTTTATAGGTCCATTTCCTATGTCCTATGGTTTTCAATATATTCTACTTGCCGTTGATTATGTTTCCAAGTGGGTGGAAGCCTGTGCTACCAAAACAAATGACCATTCCGTGGTTATTCAATTCATCAAATCTAATATCTTTGCTCATTTTGGTATGCTTAGAACTATGATAAGTGACGGAGGAAAGCATTTTTGTAACCAATTCTTAAGGCATTTATTTCTTAAGTACTCCGTTACTCATAAAGTGGCCACTCCTTACCACCCTTAAACAAGTGGGCAAGTAGAAGTGTCTAATCGGGAAATTAAGCATATTCTTGAGAAAACGGTTAACACCACCCAGAAAGATTGGTCACGAAAGTTAAATGATGCTTTGTGGGCTTACCGGACGGCATATAAGACTCCCATTGGCATGTCTCCCTATAGACTTGTATATGGAAAGCCTTGCCATCTTCCAGTTGAGTTGGAACATAAAGCCTTGTGGGTGGTTAAAAAGCTCAATCTTGACCTTGAGAAAGCCGGAGAGAACTGGTTATTACAATTGAGTGGGTTGGAAGAGTTGAGATATAATGCTTATGATAATGCCAAACTCTACAATGAAAGAACTAAAGCTTTTCATGAAAAGCACATTGTGAAGAAGTCTTTTGAACCTGTCAAAAAGTTTGGCTCTTCAACTCTAGATTGAAACTCTTTCCTGGGAAGTTGAGAACCAAATGGGAAGGTCCTTATGAAGTCATCTCTGTTGCACCTCATGGGGCGATTGAGATTCAAAATTTGAAAAAGGGGAACATTTTCAAGGTTAATGGACAGAGATTAAAACCATACATTGAGGGTGATAAGCGCCGAATATTGCATATTCAAGCGCCCTTATTTGCATTAGTTAAGTCCATTAGTTGATAATAAAGTATAGTTTAGCTTTATTTGCTTGCTTTTGTCTACTTTCAGGTTGGTTCCCCCGAATATGATTAAAAGAGCAGTTTTAACAATCCTTTGAAGGATCAGAGCACACTGTTGCTGGGGACCGTTATTTGAGCCAAGTTTCTTGAGTCAGCATATGCATGCATTTTGTGGCCTTGCATTAAAAATGACGGCCGTGTCACCGGACCAATCAAAATGGCTAAAGTGAGGGTTGAGTGCTCTAAAGACAAGGCTCCGCGTGCGCCCGCCGCACTATCGCAAGCGCCCACCAATCACTCCAGAATGCTGCCTTCATCCGTGGGGCCCCGCTGTGATCCGCAGGCCCCCACCACCAGCTCCGCGAGTGCCCGCCACGTCCCCGCGGGTGCCCGCCATTTTGTTCAATGAGCTCCTTCGGTTGCCAAGGACCCGCGGGCACCTTCCAGTTCCCCGCGGGTCCCCATGATCTGCAAAAAGCAGATCACCTACTCCTGATTTCAAGCTGCATTTTGTCTCCTAAGTAATTTTTGTGGTCCTGATTGCTTCTAGGGTGGTTGGAGCTCAAAATTGTGTGGTGAGAGAGAGGATTTTGGCTTGATAAAAGAAAGAAAGCATGTATTATTCCATATGTCATATTTTTGCTAAGTTCTAGAGAGTGAAAAAGGAGTTCTTGAGGGTTTTTGTATTTTGGGTCTTTTAGGTGCGAAAATGGAAGGTTTCTTCATCTCTTCTCCTTCTTCCATTGCTTCGATGGGTAACTAACTCCCTATCTAGGGAGGTGATGAAGCCCTCTCTTGTAAAGCATGCTTTAATTTCATTTAATTTGGGAAATGGTTCATGTATATGGTGGTTCCATGATCTAAAACACTTTACATTTTGTAATGGATCTTAATTTATATAAATGATTATGTGTAAGCTTTCATCTTGTCTTAGATTATATGTTCACATGATTGTATGGTTTACATTTTCATAGTGAGAATGAAAATGAGATTGTGGAATGGTTTTTATTGGCATTGTAACGACCCGGATTTCTCAACCCGGTACGTTAGTGATGAACCAGAAATTGACCCGATAGCGGACCCGAAATGCGGAAGCGAAAGAAGCCAAACGACCTCAAGAGATGTACGTCATCCCTAAGGCCCCAAAATGACTCCCATGAAGCCACGGAACTCAAATGAGCCAAGCAAATGAAACAAGAATGTCTAACCCGAAAAGAGATGAACTAAGGGCAAAATGGTCATTTCTAACTAAAAAGGGTGGCCACTGTGCACACCATTGGAAGGACAACGAAAAATGAACAAAATTAGACTCAAGAATCGTCTGATTCTGAGTCCGGGCAGAAAAGATATGAAATTCCAACACCCGATGCGAAAGTTATGAAACAATGACTTAACATTTTCCAATATTTTCATAATAAACTTTGAAAACAAAGGTGCATAGAAAACGAGATACATGTCATTGGCCTCTGGCCTCATCTCATACATGTTAAATACATTGAAAAGAGTGCTCTTACGTACACTTTACTTATACGAATCAACGAATACAAGTTTAAACAAATAGGGCTACAAAGAGGCATCTTATGCTAACACTTGCATAAAATAAAAACATAGAAACTGTAAGCCATCCAAGGAGCAATGGAATTTTCAAATCCTGAGTCCTGTACCTAAAAGATGCCCCAGTATCATAGGGGTGAGTAACATACAGCTACTCGTAGGAGATGAGCATGCATCGACCTAGCATTTTATAATTTTATCACCTTATAGTGAAACATGTTAAAGGGGCTCATGCCACCTAACGTCTATGTCAAGATGAGATCAAGGGAGCATCCTAAGCTACCTAGATCATTTATATCATAATCACATTGTTCATGTAATTCAAACAATATGGAAACATGTTATACAAGGCAACAAGATATAGATTTTCAAAGTCTTCAACTTGAAATCCAAAATATGAAAACAACAAGTTTGGGTCATGTCACCTAACGTCTATGTTCAAAATGAATCTATAAGGTCATTCCTAAACTACATTTGAACATCAAAACACAAATTATGATATCGATGCAATTTAACCAGCAATGAAACTTCCAATACAACGCATGAAGCATGCTTTCACAAAGCTACATCTTAAGCTCAAAATAGGAAATCAAATAAGGAACAACAAGTTACGATATCATCTAGTTATCAACTTAAAATGAAATACGAAATCAAACAAAGTGGATACTCGGACGTCACGCCGGATCAGACTGACAACATAGTTATTTTAGGGTTACTACCCCATGGGTAACCTCCCTATGTGCGCACTAGACTATATAGAGGGACAATCCCCTGTACTAGAACCAAGTCCTAGCCGTAGCCAAACAACGACATCCCCAAGTTTCCAAATTCAAGAAATTGTGCAACAACGTATATATATCAACATGTATATACAAGATATCAACTATTTACCAAGCACAATCCAAATTTTGGAAATTTATACAATACATGCTCAAAATTCACAACTACTATGGCATGTAAGATGTCCAATATAAAGTGTGCAATTCTTTACACATAGCAATAATATATTCAATAAGAAAAAACATATTCTAATGAATATAAAAGTAACAACTATGTTATCCAATACTCAAAAGTAATCAAGTGAACATACATCAAATCCAAATCCATGATTTAAATATAGAAACAACTTCCAAAATGCAATTAAATCCATGGAGTAATAAAGTAGAATTTAATTAAACATAAATAGTTAAAATTCTCTAAATTCCAATTTAATCCAAATAACCTCAATTTAATATATATTGAAAGGCATGTCATGGTCATCATATATATAACATCAAATGACAAGTTAAGTGATTAAAACACTTAAAACAAAATTAATCAAGCTAATTAATTAATTTCCTCTAGATTTTTAAACAATTCCAAATGCCCTCAATTTAATCTATGTTAGAGAACATGCCAAGGCCTATTTAAATACCACATTACAACTTGATTTAATGCTTGATACAACCATGTGAATTAAACTTTCACTAAAGATAAATATTAAATAAAAGTTGTAATTCTTAATCAAATGATCCAAATTTAATATATGTTAACTAACATATCTAAGCATAATTTCCTAACATGTTATAATTCAAATCAAAGTTATACATCCTCATAAATTTTAAATCTTATACAAAGAAATAAAAATTACTAACTTTCTAGATTTGATACAAGGCATACATATATGTTGTATAATCATGAAAAACACACAATACAACACGCAAATAATCCTAAAACATTCCCTACCTCAATTGGAATGAAAATCCCAATTACCACCGAAATGAAATCGCCCCAAATTTTCGGTCTGCAAAACAGATTTTTCAGCTTGCTACCTTCAACTTGTAAAATTCATAAAAAAATTCAATTCTAACCTAAATCAAATGAATCCAAAGCCCAATGAAAGCTTTAACACTGTAATTTGATAATATCAATTTATTTTAACAAAATATTTTCCCAATTGAAACAGTTTTGAACCACAACTTTGAAACAAATTCTGCCCAGAAAACACATTTTCAGCCTGTAGCTTCTAACTTTTAAAATTCATAAAAAATTCATTTGACATCCAAATTGGGCAAAACTAATTTATTTTGGAAGTAAACATATGAGAGTGTAAAACTGGAAATTTAATCCATGATCCAATGTCAAAAGGTTAGTGAAATAAATCATCTAAGAATATGTTTTCCAGCTGCAATAAAAACATGGACAGCAGATAGTTTTGGATTTTTAAAAAAATTTAGAAATGCTCTAAAATCATAAAAAAAAAAAATTTGAGTAGTGTAAAACCCATGGGGGAAGTTCCAGTAAAAATTTCAAGGCAATTGAAGTACCACAGCTCTCCATATAAAAATTCATTTCCAGACCGAAAAGGAAAAGCTTCAAATTTCCAGCAACTAGCTTGCAATTTCAAAAATTCATAACTAATTCATTTTAAATCCAAATTACATGAAACCAATACTAAATGAAAGCTAATTGAGTATATTTTCATATTCTATATTTAATTTGACAAGATTAATTTCAAGTTAAAACAGTTTAAGGGCAAAATACAAGTCCTTCTCTTCCATGCATGTAAAACACTCAATAATAACATAAAAATACTTCAAAATAATAGATCAATACCTCACTAGAGAATTGAATCTCTAGATACCAAAGTAAAACTAGGAGTTAGGCTAGATCCTTCAAGGGTTTTGAAGAGGAGGATGAGGGGAACAAAAAGTATTCCAAGTTCAAAGTTCGAAGGTGAGTGAAAGGGCACCAAAAATGAAGTCAAAGCTACTAGTCAAGCTTTTCTCCAATGGTGGCTTCCTTAGGGTTCTTGAGAGGAAAGTGATGATTGAATTAAAATGAGTAAACCCTAAGCTAAATTGGTGGGCTTCTCCACTCACTAGGTGCTCTTGCATTAACTCTCACACACACACTAATGCAAGACTAAAGGTGAGTCCTACACTTATCATGAATCCAAGTAAGCTTCCAAGATTAAATATTAACCCTACACTTGTCAACCATCCATGCCATCAAGTGCACCAATCCTAGGACAACAAGTGGGTGAATCTCCACCCTCTATGTGTCATGAGATTAAGCCTCTAAGTAGTTCCACCACAAAATCAACAAGTGGCACCATAGGAATGTGACACTTGTCACATTTTTCGAAAATTACAAAAAGGTCCTTTTTAAAAATATCTTCTAATTTAATTTGCAAAATGGTCCCTAAGAAAAAAAATAATTACTTTGCTTAATTACCCAAAAACCCCTCAAGTTATGGATAATTACAAAAGGTCTTGTTTTCATAACTTTTACAAAGAAAGTAAGCATTTAATATGCATTTCTACCAAAGTAAAAATGTAGATGTCATGGAATTTAAATATCATGGACATATGCCAAGCCAGAATCAAATCCGAGCACAAAAAGTGAGGTTAAGTAAGGAAAAATAAAAAATGACTAAAGGACGAAAAAAGGGAAAAGACGAAAAAATGAATAGTGTCAAAAAAACAAAAAATGTGGAAATGACTCGGTCCTCAAAGGAAGTTGTCAATCCAAAGGAAAGAGTCTCAGAAATCATTTCCGAGCACTCGAGATGACACTAAGAGGCGGGAAATCGAACCCGAAAAGGAAAAGACAAAGAAAAAAATTTATCCGCAAAATTTGAAGAAAGGGAAAGAAATGAAAATGACCGGATCATTACAGGCATGTTGTTTGAGAAGCTTGTAGTCCATTGCTTAGGCTTTCCTTTGATGGATTTTATCTTGATTCTTAACTCCATGTGCTATCACCATAGTGATTGAGGGGTTTGATAGTCCCTAGCTCAGTGAGCATGTCATGGCTACACCCTAATCTAGGTAGTTCTAGCATGTTGCACTTTGAGGGATTATACTTAAGTCTTGATCCTATGAATTTCTTGAGGATAATGTAGCAATCTAGTATTACTACATATCATTGCCATGTAGTGGAATTGTTTCCCAAGTTAATAGCAAGTTAGCATGTTTATAGGATTGGTAGTGGATTCGCTTCCCTAATCCTCTCTACTCATTTTCTATTCCTTAATCTCCTTGCAATTATTGTTTTATGCATTTCTTAATTCCTAATTTTAGTGACAATCCAAACAAAACTCTATACCCCTTTATCATTCTAAAAGTGATTTTAGACACCTTGGTTGCCATAAACTAGCAGTCCCAGCGGTTCGACTTACCCGACCAATAACCCTATTTTACAATGATTTGTGCTATTGCAAAGGTTGATGTATAATTGACAATGGATCAATTTTTGGCGCCGTTGCCGGGGACTGCAAACGGTTTTACAACCGAGGTTCTAGGATTAACTTTGGTTTGATTGTGAATATTGTGTTCTTGTGGATATTTTCTCGTTGATTTCTATGAATTTGTGTATCAAGTTTTCTTATGAGATTCTAGGTACTCAAGGCTTACCGTGGGAAAGCTAGCAAATTTGTAAGTCTAAAAGACTCCTGGTAAGTTTTCGAAGTCATGGTCTCAAGGTTGTAAATATCTTGCATGTGGTTAAATTAGAGATAGTTGAATTGTGAAGCCCTTGTTGAGGCTATTTTTTGTTTTTTTATATTACAAAGCATCAGCCCTTGTTGAGGCTATTTTTTGTTTTTTTATATTACAAAGCATCGGTCCTTGTCGTGGCCATTTAATTTCTATTGTTGATAATTGAGGAGAATGGGAACATCGTATGTGGAGGTTATGGTGATGCGTTGTTGTTTTGATTGTGTTGTGATTTGTTGATGTTTGGCTATAGATCACTTTCCTTACCGACTCTTGACTTGGCAGTTAACATAAATTCACTTGGAAGGACTCTTAGAAGAAACCTTAGGGAATCTGCTAACATAAGAGGAATTGAACTTGAATTTAATACAATGGCCGGTAATGAAGAAAATTTGGTTCCTATGAGGGGATCAGTAATAATGGGGTTGAAATTCCAAATGTGGTTCCCATAACTCTTCGAGACCATTTCATCCCTACCACTTATGCTTCTCCCTCTTGCATAGTGATGCCAAATATCGAAGCTGCTCAATATGAAATCAAATCTAGCACCATCCAAGTGCTTCCATCCTTTCATGGCTTTAATAATGAAGATCCTTATAAGCATCTTGATGAGTTCCTTGAAATTTGCTCTACTATCAAGATGAGGGGTTTCCCTGAGAATGCACTCCAGCTGCGTCTATTTCTATTCTCCTTGAAAGATAGGGTAAAGTATTGGTTAAACTCCCTTGTTGCAAACTCCATCACAACATGGGCCCAATTGCAACAAGAATTTCTAAAGAAATACTATTCGGTAAGTAAAACCAATCAAATGAGGCACTCCATTCTTAGTTTTTCTCAAATTGATGGAGAACAACTCCATGAGACTTGGGAAAGATTACAAGATCTTCTTAGGAAATGCCCGTACCATCTAATTCCAAAATGACAATTAGTGCAAGCCTTCTATGATGGTTTAACCGAATCACATAGACTCATGGTCGATTGCTCATGTGGAGGGATATTCATGTGTAAGAATGCGGATGAGGCTTGGACCTTACTCGAGAATTAAAGTGAAATTTCATTGCAACACAATTCTCGTAGGGCTCCGATCTCAACCAATGCTAAAAACACCAATCCTTGTCAACCAAAAACAATGAAGGAAGAATCTTCTCAAGTGGATGCCATAGCTCATAAATTCTATCAATTAGTGGCACCACATCTCTCTCCCTCTTTGTCTTAATATTCGGCAAGTGCGGTGTATGCATTATGTACGAGTCCCTTCCATCTCTCTGAAGATTGCCCCACACCAGGGCAATTTTCTAATCCCAATCATGAGCAAGCAAATGCGATGTTTTCCAGACCTGGAAACAATCCTTATTCTAATACTTATAATCCAGGCTGGAGAGATCATCCGAATTTTTCATAGAGGCAACCCGCCCCACAAAATTCAAACTTTCAGAATCAAGGGCATCAAAATCAACCCCCTTCTCAATTTCAAAATAGGCCATTTTAGGCCTCGTCAAGCTACCGTCCTCATTATAATCCAAATGTCTCTAATCAACCTCCTACGTGTGACGACCCCGTCATTTGCCTTCCTTTCCTTTTTCCTGAAATTTTACGAATGAAATTTTTTCGTTTAATTTTCTTTTCTGAGCTCTGTTTCATGTCGTTTAGTGTCATCTCGAGTGCTCAGAATTGGTTCCTAAGACTCTTTTCCGTGGATTGACAACTTTCTTTGAGAACCGAGTCATTTTCACATTTTTCATTTTTTGACACTATTCACTTTTCGTCATTTTTCCTATTTTGTCTTTTCCCCGTTTGACACTTTGTTGGTGTAACCACGCTTCTTGTGTTTGGAGTTGGTTTTTGACTTCATGTAACTCCATCTTAAGTGGTTTCCACGAAATACGTATCTTTACTTTGGCAATAAAGTACTCTGGTTGCTCCCGGTGTCTATAGGGGCATGGATGCAAAGTTCTTTGAAATTATTTTCTTTTCTTGGGGTATTTTTCGTAAATATCTTTTGAAGATATTTTATTTTAGGGGTTTTTAAGAAAATATTTTTGGAAGATATTTTTATTCTGGGCCATAAGTGCAGTTTTCACTTTTTGGAGAGGCCATTGTGCAATTAATGAAAGTTATTGCAAAATGTCTTGTCTGAGCCTGGATCCTCGTACAGGATTTATTTTCACATTTCGTCGAGTTGTGTACTCTTGGAAGTTCCTCCTAGTCGATGTTTTCTAGTTTCAGGGTTTTTGGCCCCGGTTTGCGCCAAACTTATTTTGGGCATAACTTTCTGCTCGAGACTCGGTTTTCAACGCTGCTTCTTCCATTGTTCATATTTTATCATTTTGAATCGTTTTCGTTCACAAAGTTTTGCCATTTGAGCGCGTTTGCTCAAATTTTACTTTTTCAGACCCGGCGAGACCCGTTCGGAGCACTTTTTGAGATTTCTATAAAAGCGGGGTGAGATATTTCATTTTTCATCTTCTCCCCTCTTTATGCATGCCTGGAGTTCCCATGGCAGCACAAGGGGTGCTGCCATCTTCTCTCTCCTCTCTTGGTTCACTTTTCCTTGATGGAAAGTCTTCGGCCTTAACGTTTATTGTTCCCCTCGCCGTGCTCTACCTTTCCCCCTTATTAGAATTCAGTTTTGACCATTTCTTGAGTTTGGTTTTGAGGTCAAGTTATGATTTTGATGGGCCTTTCATGGGGGTTATGTTCACGGCGTTGTCCCCAACAAAACCTAGTAGTTTCGTCGGATTCGGAGCCGTTCCATTTTGGTGGGCCTTTGGGATTTTCATCTCAAATTGAGGTAGGAGATGTTCTAGGTTTAAATTCTTGTTATATAGCATGCTTGTGATGCTTATACTACTTGTTTGCATGATTAAATATAAAATCTAGAGATTTTATTATTTATTTTTCTTGTACGGGATCTAATTTTCCTGGTTGATCATGACTTGGTTTAAACATGTAGCATGATTTTATATTGCCCCTTAATATGCTCATTGTCGTGTATTAAAATTGGAACATTTAAATAAGTATTAAAGATTTTATTCAATATTTTATCTTAGGTGAAAGATTAATTCACGTGGCCTTAATTAGCTTAAAATCAATATGTGTTAGCATATTAAATTAGGCCTTAGCATGTTTTCCATCATAGTTGAATTTGAAAGTGATTGGAGGTGTTTTGAAAATTAGTAATTATTAATTAATTTGCCCCGAGTGCACTATTCACTTTATTTAAATTCCGACTTGATATTCTTGATTTACATGCCATATAGTTTCACATATATTTGATTTAGAATATTCGGTTAGGTTTTGAAACCTTTTATTTAATTAAATTCCATGTTTAAGATTTTATCCTCATGGTGATATACAACTTGGAATTGTATTGTGGTATGCTAGAAAATTAAGTTTTGGTATGATTGTTCACATGTATTAAATTGTGATTTATTGCATGAGAATTGCAACTTTTGTTTTATATTTAACTTTAGTGAATGTTTAATTCGCATGGTCGTAAATTGAATGAAATAAACTAGTAATATGATATTACATTAGTCCTTGGCATGTTTTCCAACATAGGTTAATTTGAGAGCATTTAGTTAAGTTTGAAAATCTAGAGATTTCCTTAATGAAGTGATTAAAGAATCTCTCCCCTTCATTCTAAACAAAGATCCTTTGGAAACTTGCATGTTTCATTTTGACCTCTCGAACTTTGATATTGACCAAGCCATCCAAGAAGTGAATTCGTTGCTCAACATAGGTGCTATCATGGATTTTCCTCCTTAGAAGATGCCAAAAGAACCATTTCCTCAACTCTCTACTACTCCTCCGGTCCCTTTCTTGGAATCTCCACCACAACTTGAGTTAAAACCGCTCTCGGCCCACCTCAAGTATGTGTTTCTTGGTGTAAATCAAATTCTTCCGGTCATCATTGCATCGGACCTTTTAAAGGACCAAAAAAATAGCCTTTTAGCGGTGCTCCAAGAGCACAAAGAAGCTATTGGCTGAGCGGTGGCTGACTTGAAAGGAATTGACCCTTCTTTTTGTATGCATCGCATCCATATGGAGGATAACGCAAAACCTTCTAGAGACGTCCAGCACCGGTTGAATCCTAACATAAAGGAAGTGGTCATGAAAGAAGTGATCAAATTGCCAGATGCGGGAATCATCTACCCCATTTCTGATAGCAAGTGGGTGAGCCCTACTCAAGTGGTCCCCAAGAAATTCGGCCTCACCGTCGTTGAAAATTCTGTGGGAGAGCTCGTGCCACAACGTACCACCACTGGGTGGCGTGTGTACATTGACTACCGGAAGCTAAATTCTACCATTAGGAAGGATCGTTTCCCACTCCCATTCATTGATCAAATCCTAAAGAGGCTAGCCGGCCAAAGCTACTACTATTTTCTTAATGGTTATTATGGCTATAACCAAGTGGCAATTGATCCACAAGATCAAGAGAAGACCACTTTCACATGCCTCTTCGGAACCTTTGCTTATAGACGCATGCCTTTTGGGCTATGCAATGCACCGGCCATGTTCCAAAGATGCATGATGTCCATATTCTCTGATATGGTTGAAAAGTTCTTGGAAGTTTCATGGACGATTTTTCAGTCTTTGGCTCCTCCTTCGATTCGTGTCTCCACAATTTATCCCTTGTGCTTCAAAGATGCAAGGAGACAAATCTAAGTCTAAGCTGGGAGAAGAGTCACTTTATGGTCCAAGAGGGCATTGTTCTAGAACATATTATTTCAAAAAGAGGAATTGAGGTTGACAAAGCCAAAGTGGAGTTAATTTCTAATCTTCCTCCTCCAAATTCCGTCTGTCAAATCCATTCCTTCCTTGGTCATGTCAGATTTTATCGTCACTTCATCAAGGATTTTAGTAAAATCTCTCAGCCCTTGTGTAATCTTCTTGTCAAGGATGCTCCGTTTGATTTTGATGAAGCTTGTATGGAAGCTTTCATGACACTTCGCACTCTTCTCTTATCAGCCCCAATCATGAAACCGCCTAATTGGTCTCTTCCATTTGAGATCATGTGTGATGCATCCGATTATGCATTTGGTGCGGTTTTGGGCCAGTGTGTGGACAAACTTCCACATGCCATCTATTATGCTAGCAAAACTCTCTCCGATGCCCAACTCAATTACACCACCACTAAAAAAGAGTTGCTAGCTATGGTGTATGCCTTAGATAAATTCCGTTCTTATCTTCTTGGATCCAAGGTCATTGTCTTTTTGGATCATACCGCCCTTTGGCATTTGCTCGCAAAAAAAAGAGACCAAGCCCCACCTAATTTGATGGATACTCTTACTCTAAGAGTTTAATATTAAAATTCGGGATAAAAAAGGGACCAACAATATTATCGCCGATCATCTCTCTCGCATACTCATTGAGAAATCCTCCGAATTTGCTGCAGTTCGAGACTCATTTCCGGATGAGCAACTATTTCAGATTTCCCATTTAAGTCTCCCTTAGTTTGCGGATATTATCAACTATCTTGTGGTAAGCAAAATTCCGTCCAATTGGTCCAAACAAAAGAAAGACCGGTTCTTCTCCCAAGTCAAAAATTTCTTTTGGGAAGATCCGAAGTTGTTTAAATATTACCCGGATCAAATCATCTGGAGATGCATTCCCAAAAATGAAACCACAAGTGTCCTAAATTTCTGTCACACTCTTGCTTGTGGGGGACACTTCAGTGCCAAAAAGACCGCTGACAAAGTCCTTGTAACAACCCGGATTTTTAAGAATTTAAATTATTTTTATCTCATAAATTTTAGTTGTTAGAGATTGATTGTTTAATTTTAAATGAATGATTTACCCATTTAAATGATTCAATGGGTTTGATTTTTGTTGTCATAATTAATTTAATTAATTATGATTTAAGGCTTATTCATTGGAGATTTATTATGGAGATTGATTATTTTAAATTGGAGATTTACTAATTAGAAATTGGGTCATTAATTATTGAATTTGGAGACTACAATTTTAATTAAGCTTAATTTCATTTCATAATTTTAGTCATCATAATGAAGGCTGCCGAAAATTGTAAGGGAAGAGAATAAATGGGCAACATTCTTTTTGGTTGATTTTTCTCACGTGGGTTTCCTTTAGATTGTCACTGTATTGAATTAAAGAATGAATAGATAATGAAAGGTAATGGAAAAGGTGCGGATCCCACTTGAATTGATTAAAGGGTTGAATTGTTTATATATATATATATATATATATATTATATCTTGCCAAAGGGAGATGCACTGGTCGAAGGTGATGAGGAGAATGGGTTTTTGTTTTTTCTATTCATTTATATCTATATGATATTTATGTGTTGGAATATGCGAATGTGCTTCCAGCGAGATTGAGAGAAAGAAAATTGAGATGGAAACTGGTTATGAGGTGCGGGCCCACTAGGAGACATTGAATGAGTTTTGATTTTGTTGCATGATATATCTTTTTATTTAATTTTTTTGTGTCTAATGAAATGGGTACTGCCAGCCGACACACTTGAGAGAATAGAGATATGGAAATCAAAGAAAGAAAGTTGGGAATGTGATTTTGATGGTGGGACCCACAAATTATTTTCTTAAAAAATTGGTTCTTTGCTTTGTGTCCTTCACGTGGCTTTGTCTGATTTATGTTTGGTGATAATACGTTCTTTGTATGTGGAAAAATGAAGAATGAAGATAAGGAGGCAGCATGGTGTGGCAGCCGAGAAAAGGAAGATAAGGTGGTGGCGGGTCCACTAGAAATTTTGATCATTGTATTAATTTTTGAGTTGGGATATTTGGTGAATTGTTTGCTGTGTCGGTGCAATGCCTATATATTGAGTGTCTTGTGTGCTAAGAGAGCGTACAAAAACAGAAGAGAAAAATAGAGGAGCACACACAGAGAGGAAATACAGAGAGTTTTGATGTGCACACATACAGTGCCGAGGTGCACACAGTGAGGGCCGAGAGTTTGGTGATGTTTCTGATCCAGCGATGATGTTTATTTTTTTAGTGTAGGGATAATCATATCTTGAATGGCTTGGATGATTTTATTTTAAATATTTTGTTGATTATTATTTTGCTAAAATTGCATATATGTATTTTGTTTAAAAGCATATATATATTTTTGTGAAGCAAATTTATCATGAAACTCTTTGAAATCCTTGTTATGGTTTTTCCTACTGTCTCACCCCCCTACAGTTTCAGGTACCGAGAATGAGCTTGGATTGATAGTAGCGAGCTAGGAGGAAGAGTAGGAGTTGAGGAATTAAATTATTTATTTTAGAGATCGTTGTATTTATTTGAGGAATTGATTTCGTATCAATAAAGGATATTTTATTTATTTGAGATCATGGGTGTATATTGAAGAATTTTGATTTAATAAATCGAGGATTTTATTTAGAAAAAAAAATTCGGGGCGTTACAGTCCTTCAAAGCGGATTCTATTGGCCTTCTTTGTTTCGAGATGCTTACAATTTCTGTAAATCTTGTGAGTGTTGCCAAAAGCTCGGCTCCATGTCTAGAAGAGACATGATAACCCTCACCCCCATCTTAATCAAAGAAATTTTCGATGTGTGGGGGATTGACTTCATGGGACCATTTCCATCTTCTTATGGTTATAAGTGTATCCTTGTAGCGGTGGATTATGTTTCCAAATGGGTTGAGGCCGAGGCTACCAGAACCAATGATCATAAAGTCGTGATCAAGTTCATTCAATCCAACATTTTTAGTCATTTTGGTATGCCCCGAGCAATCATTAGTGACGGTGGATCTCATTTCTGAAATCATTATCTCAAATCCGTCCTTTCTATATACTCCATCATTCACAAGGTTGCCATACCTTATCACCCTCAAACGAGTGGTCAAGTGGAAGAATCTAATCGGGAGATGAAGCATATCTTGGAAAAAACGGTTCTACCGGACCGCGAAGATTGGTCATTAAGACTAAACAATGCACTGTGGGCCTATCGGACAGCTTAGAAGACGCCCATTGACATATCACCATATCGGCTTGTCTTTGGCAAAGCATGTCATCTCCCAATTGAACTAGAGCATCGTGCATATTGGGCCATAAAAAGGCTCAACTTTGATCTCCAACAAGCCGGCTCTACTCATAAATTGCAGCTTAATGAGCTTGAGGAAATTCGAAATGATGCATATAAAAGCGCCAAAATCTATAAGGCAAAGACTAAAGCTTTTCATGATAAGCACATTGTCCACAAGTCCTTTCCCCTGGACAAAAAGTTTGGCTTTTCAACTCTCGCTTGAAGCTCTTTCCCGGTAAACTCCATTCACGGTGGGATGGGCCATATATCATCACTTTCGTCTTTCCTTATGGTGCAGTAGAACTCCAAGATCCTACAGATGGATCTCTCTCTAAGGTTAATGGCCAACGGCTTAAGCCTTATGTTAACGTCATAGTCCCTATCTGCAAAGTAGAGAAAGCCCTATTAACGGACCTAATTTACGAGGATTGATATGCGATCTTGGTTCGTCTAACTATCGACGTAAAATTTAGCATTCATGGGAAGCAATTCTTCCATCTACCCGGCTTCCCTCTTCCGTGTGCAAACGTGCCAAGAATCTTTCAGGAATTCACTAAGTAACCGAAAATGTGCATTCTTCCGGAATTGTCTTATCTAGCATTCCGGCGGTCACATTCGGTTTTCTTCATCGTTTTCAAGTCATGGTACCATTTCTGGAAATATTCAAGGTTATTGAGGCATCTGTCTCGTCTAAATCCAAAGTTTAAATGACATTCGGATTTTGTGACTCTCTTTTGAGCCATGGAGCATCAAATCCCGCTCCGGCGATTCTCCACAATGACTAGGATCCTCCGAAATTCAAGTTCGTGTTTAAGTCACTTGCGATCACATTCTGGGACTTGCGAGCTGAGCTAGGCTGCACAAGGCAGCATCTGCAGAGATCCGCAGGCACCCGCCTCGCTACCACTGGCGCCCGCGAAATTGGCCAGAGAGTTTCGATCTTCCGCAGGTGCCCGCCATTCCTCACGGGCCCCCGCCGCAGACTCGCGGGCCCCCGCCGCGCCACCGCGGGCACCTACCAAAATAGGTAATGAGCCTATGTCGCCTCACGGGCGCCCGCACCTTTCCCCCGCTGATTGTTAAATGGGCTTTCAAGCCCATTGCATTTCATTTTAACCTTTCCTTTCCCTCTCATACCCTCGCCCCAAACCTATTCACCCCTTAAAACCTCTCACTCTCTTATTAATCTCAGCCTTCTCTATCCATTCCATCTATATCATCCCTCATCCTTCTTCATCAATTCTCTTCATCCCTCAATCTCTCATCCTTCAAGCATAAAGGAAGTTTGTTCCACCAAATTGATTAAGTTTCTTCTCCTTTCTTTTTCTTTAAATTTTCAATTCAAGGAGGTTGGGAATCTATTGTTGGAGGATTGGTGATTGTTAGGTGTTAATTGCATGTCCATTACAGGTTAATTTTTGGGATTTTTACATATCTAACCTCATTTTGCCCCTCTTCCAAATCCTTGTGCATGCCAGGTGTTTGTCGAAATTCCTAAACCAACTTTCTTCATTCCAATGGCTCTTAAAGTTGCTTCCAAGCATGCTCGCTCATTCGAGGGCCCCTCTAATGTGCCTCTAACTCCAAATTGGGCTGAATGGCCAATCGTTCCCGCAGCAAAATTCAGCATTGAAACTGATTTTGAGTAAAATCAAGAGACGGCATGGTCAATTCGCGAATTGAGGGCACGTGGCCTCGCATCGCTTTTCAAGCCATGCGCTCATGCCTACTACCCGTGCGTGGTCCGTCTGTTCTATGCAAACCTATTCCATTCATGTGCAGAACCAGACATCATCAAAACTACCATTGATGGCGACGTTTATGAATTTGGCCTGGATGACCTTGCTATAGCTATGGATTGTCCATTGGCTTCACCAGTGGATAAGGCAGGCCTATCTCTTTATGTTGAACCACTGGCTCGACTATCTTTGGCGGACATTATGGGAGATATTTGTCACGGTCAATTTACTGACAATCGAACCACAAGCACCAATAAATCCTTCTTGATTCGGTCCTGGCTAAGAATGTCCTTCCTGTGGTTTCTTGATTCAGTCCTGGCCAAGAACGTCCTTCCTGTGGTTTCTTGATTTGGTCCTGGCCAAGAAAGTCCTTCCTGTGCCAGGCTATTTCGAGCGTAAGGGGGATTTTCTGAAAGCCCACTATGCCGCTGAAAAGGAGTACTGGTTTTGCATCCCACAGCTTGTCTGGAACCAAATTCTTAAGATTTACAATAAGTTGATCTTAGTGAGGTCCAGCAGTGCCACCACCTGGGCATTTCCATTTCCATACCTTATCACCAGGTTGCTTAAAGATGCGGAGTTTAGAGCACCTCGTGGTGAGGCGAAAGAGAAGGCTGTGTTTGACTTCAACCTCGAGGTCTGGAAGTCCAGCACAGTTCAGCTTAAGATGCCCCGTCAGGCCCACATTGGGGACGACTTGGATTGGGGTGCTCCGGCTCCTCCTGTGGCTCCTACCCCCGCTACTCATGATGCCCCCGCTGCTCCAGCTACCCTGTTGCTTCGCTGCTGGATGTCATGACCTGTGTTGATTATCATGCGCTTAATGCTCGTCTTAATGCGTTTGACATGCACTTTGATAACATAGAGGGCACTATTCAAAAAACTCAGGAGAGCTAGGAGGTTTTGCAAGCTATACTCCAGACTTTGATTGACCGTGCACCCGGCGCACCTAGCGGTTCCTCCACCACTCCGATGATGGAGTGATTTTATGCTTCTAGTTTTATTTCCCTTCTTAGTAGTACTTTTTAGACTTCTTTTGGGCCACGTTTGGCAATTGCTTTCTGTCTTTCTTTTGAACTTGTAACTGCATCACTTTTGCTACTTTGCATGGATTATAGTTTTTAGTTGACTAAATTGTAGTTATTTTTTATTCATTTTGGATTCATATGATACTTGCTATGTATAGATGCTTTTGACAGGTTTTTGAAACCAAGTTTGGGGGCATGCTCATGGAATTCACGAAGTGGCCTATTTTTGCATCGCCACTCAATTTCTCTTCAACTTGGTACTATTGTTCTTGTTACACTCTTCCTTTTTCATTTTTTATCCTTTGTCTTCTCACGTTGAGGACAATGTGACATTTAAGTTTGGGGTTGCATTGCATTTGTTGCATTTTTGAGATAACATAACATTTTTGCTTGCATGACCATATCTTGATACATGTAAGTTAATAAAATCATTTGGTTGGAAGCAATGATAATGTAATCATGGAACTTATTGGAGATGGAAGCATATGTTCAAAACTTTGTGTATAGAGGCAAATGATATTTTTGAAAACAAATTATATTTTTGAAAATAAAGAAAAATTTGAAATGACCATGTTGATTCATATCGGTTTGTTTAAACGCTTCAATTAGATTTTCGTTGGATTTCAAACTCTTCTATGCTTCACATTGCATAGATGCACACCGGGAACCTAATTGTGAGGTATGCAACCCAATTAACCTTGACCATGACATAGTGGATTTGAATTGATGGCCCTAATGAATGGATATCTTTGGCATATTTTTGTAAATTCTAAGTAAAAATAAAAAAATAAAAAAAAAAAGAAAAAAAGAAAAGAAAAGTAATCAATGATAATGACCAGTTTAAGTTTGTAGCCTTTCCAATTCGAGTTATTAAGCCCTAGGAGTGTCTCTACACTTAACACCCTAAAGCCATCCGGTTTGGGAGTTGTTGGCCTAACACTTGCTATATGGGTTGGTTAGAAAGCTTAAGGGACTTAAACATTGCATGGTCATTCACAAAAAGATATAAATAAATAAATATGGTTTATTGAAGTTCGTAACCTTGCCAATTTAAGATATTAAGCCCTAGGAGTGTCTCTACACTTAACACCCTAAAGCCATCCGATTTGGGAGTTGTTGGCCTAAAACTTGCTACATGGGTTGGTTAGAAAGCTTAAGGGACTTTGGCATTGCAATTTTCAACAAGCAAAAAAAGTTATATTGTGAATAAAGTCATGCCTTAGAAACCCCATTTAGGAGGAAATTCAGTGATTTGAAGGCTTGTGTTTCTAAGATTGGAACAAGAGGGTAAAAGCCGTATATTGGGAATCCGGTTCACTTTCACTGAAGTTAGAGTTCAATTCTCTTTTAGAAACGACAATTGAAGTGTTTATATAGACTATGATGATTGATGCATAAAAGTTGAAATGTGTTTTACCATTTTTGTTTATCAAGGCCTCATATATGCAAGGTAGTCTGTTGAATGAGTCTGTCTCCAATTTTTTGTTGTCCCAAGTTACATTTAAGCTTTATAGGTAATTTCTTGCTTTACGATTGACGCATGTTGTCAGCATTTCATATGTTGTCATATTTGTTAGGTTCTATATTTTGGTTTTGCTA